TCTGCAGTTGAAATAGATGGAAATGCCAAAGTGGGAACATCATTTGAAGGATCATTCTGATCAACAGAAGATGCTACCAGGTCTTCACTTCTCTTTCCCGCCTCCCTGGAAGAAGCACATGCTGAAGACACGTCCTCTCCTGCAAAAGGGCAATTCTTTCCCTCAGATGTTTGATGAGACACATGCTCCTGAATGTTATTTAAATTTGAGCCTGCACCAGATGGAGCATCCACCTTCTTTAAGAACTTCATTATACCAAGCTGAACTTTGGAATCTCGGTTCCTCTGGCCAAGACAGCCTTCAGTCAGCTTGTCCAGAGGACCAAGCTGACTGTACATGATAAGAGCGTTTTGAACATCATTATCATTTTGGCAAAATGTTATTCGTTTAAAACCCTCATTTAGCTTGGGAAATTCTTTCTTCTGAAGCATTCTATTCACAACTGCTGCAGCTTTTCCACCTTGCAAGTTACCTTCATGCCCAGTTCGCTTCACAGAGCGAGAAATACAAAGCTGGGCAGGAAGATCAAGCACCACAGCATGAACATCTACTTGCGAGTTGCCAAATTTCACAAACTCTGCACGTTGTTCTTTGTCGAGGTTGCATCTATCAATAAGAACATTTTTGCCCTCGTTCAAAGCACTAACTGCACTTTTTAAACACTGAGGCCTAGTTCCAGCTTTGCCATTATTAATAGTATCCTGCGTAAGAAGCCAAGAGAATTTGGATCACCCCACCACTTCGACCCATTAATGATGGAATCAAAATCGGGTCAATTGACTTCTTTATCCCCTAAAAAGAGATGCATCGAGGAGGTTTATCATTTATGAATAACAATCCACCTGATAGAAGTAACTAAATATGGAAAAATAAACCGAACCCTGGTGAAGCATTTTATCAAACACGTATGACGTGCACCGTGATATTATCACAGAAGGAGTTTGAGAAAGAAACCTGACAGATACGAATCCAGGTTCGAGAAGAAGAGCTTATGATATTGTCAGCGAAGGTGGACTTGCCGCTCCCTGGTGCACCCACTAACAGTAGCATGATCGTTTTTCCCTTCTCTACTTCACCATTTTCAGGCACACACACAAACAACAAACAAATAGATAAATAGTAGTTCTACGGACATTGATCATTAACAATAATAAAACCCTAGGAACTGGGTTCCGAAGGAGCATACCTTTGGTTTCAGAATTACCATCGATGTCCATGTCCATTGTTGATCTGATTAAAATGTCTTTTACGACTTCGAATTTCAAATTCCTGCCTCCCTTTTCGCCAGTTGCTTTTCTCTGATTTAACACCTTTGGCTAGGCGTAGAGATGGGTTCAGTTCTTTTTTCGTGTTTTTTAATCCTGGAAAAATGAAAATAAAAAATAAAAAATTAAAAGCAGAAGAAACTTCTTTGAAGTGGCAAGTAGGTTGGGTTTCTGAAAACAAATAAATGGGTCCAAGCCCACGGGAATTCAAACATGAAACACCTCCGCGATTCCATTTTCAACTGGGTAGATTTTTTTAAAAAAGAAAAATATTACAAAAATTTTAATTTATAAAAATGTTAATGTTATTCCATCTTAAAAATGGAAGATGGAGACCAAATTGATGACTATATGGACATTGCAAAGAGATTTCATTGGACAAGTCAGACGGGATTGACACGCCGAAAGTGAAGAATTTTGTGTTCTTCCAATTTCCTAATAAGTTTTCAACTCCTCAGATCTGCGAATTCCATCTCATCGCATTTTCTTTAACTAGAGAGGTTTTACAGGTTTTAAGATGAAATTTTCCCGCCAGTTGTGGCTATTTCTGTTAACTATAAATGCAATCTTTCTCCATCTAAATATCCTTCCCATCTGTAGCCAACTATGTTTTGAGGAACAGCAATTGTCGTTGCTTCAATTGAAGAACAACTTCAAGTTCAATCCTGCATCGTCTGTAAAACTGGTGAATTGGGTTCAGAGCATAGATTGTTGCCGTTGGAATGGCGTAACCTGCGATGAAGATGGTCGAGTCATGGGTCTCGACCTCAGTAAGGAAAATATCGCCGGCGTAATTGACAACTCAAGCAGTCTTTTTGATCTTCAGTATCTCCGGAGCCTGGATTTGAGTTTCAACAACTTCAATCGTTCTCAAATACCATCCCAGATTAGCAAGCTAGGGAATCTGGTCTATTTGAACTTGTCTAACGCTGGATTTGGGGGGCAAATTCCGATTGAAATTTCACGTTTAACAAGATTGGCTAGCCTTGATTTATCCAACTTCTTTCTAGGAGACTCACTGGTACTTCAGAACCCAAATCTAACTATGCTTGTTCAGAATCTCTCACACCTCACAGAGCTCTATCTTGATGGTGTAAGAATCTCTGAACGGGGGAAGGCATGGTGCCAAGCCATATCTTCATCGCTACCAAATCTAAGAGTGTTGAGCATGTCCCGCTGCAATATTTCGGGGCCGATTGATCCATCATTGTTAAAGCTTAGGTACCTTTCAATCGTTCGTCTTGATAACAACGACTTGTCAAGTTCAGTGCCAGATTTCTTTGGGAACTTTTCAAATTTGATTTCCTTGAGTCTCGGCAATTGTAAATTGTCTGGAAAACTTTCTCAGAGGGTCTTGGAACTAGAAAAACTGCAGACTCTTGACTTGTCAAACAACAAGTTTCTTCAAGGTTCTGTTTTGGATTTCCCCCGCAATGGGTCACTGCAGACGTTGGTTCTCAGTGGCACAAATATCTCAGGGAAATTACCAGAATCTATCGGCAATCTTGCAAGCTTGGCAACAGTAGACCTTTCCGGTTGCAGTTTCAGTGGTTCAATTCCTAGCTCAATGGCAAACCTCACAAGATTGGTTCATTTGGATTTATCTTTCAATCATTTCAGCGGATTAATACCGTCATTTGTTTTGTCCAAGAACCTGACTTATATAAAGCTTTCTCATAACATGTTCTCAGGTCCAATTCCAACTCATTGGGAAGGCTTTCAAAATCTTGTAAATCTTGATCTGCGAAATAACATGCTCAATGGCACAATCCCGTCATCTCTCTTTTCTCTTCCCTCACTGCAAAAGATTCAACTTTCTGACAACCAATTTTCTGGTCAACTACATGAATTTCCAAGTCTTCCTTCTAATCTTCTGGATACTCTTATTTTGAGCAGCAATAAATTGGAAGGGCCAATACCAACGTCCATCTTTAAACTCAGAGGACTTCATGTACTTCAGCTTTCTTCCAACAAGTTCAAGGGAACTATACAGCTAGCCACTATCCAGAATCTTGGAAACCTGACCAACCTTGATCTCTCTTACAACAATTTGACTGTCAATGCCAGTGGTAACTATTCTACAATTTCATCCTTCCCACAGCTTACCACACTAAAACTTGCTTCTTGCTCACTCGAAGTGTTTCCTGATCTGAAGAAGCAATCAAAGCTTTTCTCTTTGGACCTTTCGGAGAACAAAATTTCTGGAAGTGTGCCTAGTTGGTTTTGGAGCATCGGTAACAGTTCTCTCAATGAAGTGAATCTATCATCCAACAGCTTCACGGATCTGGAAGAACCCTATTATCTTCCTCCTCTTAGCAGTCTTGATCTTCATTCCAACCTGCTCAATGGACGACTGCCAAAAATACCATCATCCGCAGCCTATTTAGATTACTCCTCCAATAACTTTTCTTCAGTTATTCCTGCTGAAATTGGGAATTTCCTCTTCAACAGCGTTTTCTTTTCCCTATCAAACAATAGCCTGACTGGACCAATTCCTGAATGTATATGCAAGGCTATGTATATCCGAGTTCTTGACTTCTCAAGCAACATGTTGAGTGGTCTAATACCAGAGTGCCTCTTTCAAATGACAAGCCTTGGTGTCTTAAATTTAAGGCGAAACGTTCTCACAGGTAGACTTCCAGATACATTTTCAGCATCCTGTGGTTTACAAACTCTGGATCTTAATGCAAATCAGTTGGAAGGACCGGTTCCAAGGTCTCTGGCCAACTGCAAAATGTTGGGAGTGTTCGATATGGGAAACAATAGGATATATGATAATTTCCCATGCCAGTTGGAAAATATATCCAGCCTGCGTGTACTTGTTTTGCGATCCAATCAACTCCATGGCACCATTGCTTGTTCAGGATCAGATAAGGTTTCTTGGAAAATGCTTCAAATTGTCGACTTAGCTTCCAACAATTTCAGCGGTACTCTACCACCAAAATGGTTCAAAGCTTGGCAGGCAATGATGGGAAATGAAGATCATTACCCCCTCCAATTTGAGTTCTTGCATCTCAACAAGTTTTACTATCAGGACTCGGTAACAGTTACCAGCAAAGGTCTAGAATTAAAGTTTGAGAAGGTTTTAACACTCTTAACTGTCATTGATTTCTCAAGGAACAAGTTCGAAGGGCCTATTCCAAAAGAGATGGGCGAGTTTAGAGGAGTCTATGTTCTTAATCTTTCACAGAATGTTTTGACAGGCCAAATCCCTTCAGATTTAGGCAACATGATACGGCTTGAATCTCTAGACCTCTCTGGAAACAACCTCAATGGAGAGATACCAACGCAGTTAACAAGGCTAAATTTTCTTTCGTTCCTCGACCTCTCAAACAACCAACTAACGGGAAGGATCCCAATAGGAGCTCAATTTGGAACATTTTCAGCAGCTTGCTTTGAAGGGAACAAAGGATTGTGTGGATACCCGTTAAACGTGACTTGCAGAGTCCAAGAAGAGGCTAAAACAACGGAAGACAGTGAAGGGAATGATAGGGTAGGAGTTGATTTGAAATTCACAGGTCCTTTGTTTGGATTTGTGTTTGGTCTGGGAATTTTTAATTTGCCTCTTGTGTTTTGTAAGAGATGGAGGATATGGTATAATGGAAGAGTTGATCGACTCATTCTCTCAGCTTCTACAAGTCATAGTAGATCCACGAGAGGAAGAAGAAATAACGCAAGGAGCAGGCAGCAACGATGGGGAAGATGATTAGGGATGCAGTTTTCTCCTACTTTGGTCAGTGATCCGACACGTTCTACAACCAGCTACTCTAATTGTGTTAGTTAATGGTAAAATCAAGTGCAAAATACCATCTCAATTCTGCTAAAACATTAGCAAAAAATTTGAAATAATGATTGAAAAATGGAATAGAGAGGGAAAATGATAGATATAAATTTTTCTTAAGAAAAACTGAAGAGATAGGAGAAGATTGTTGCGCAAATCGCCCCCTTACCGCCGTCAACCACTCATCGTGGAGGTGCTAAGAGGATACGGTATATTGTTCTTAGTATAATTTTGTTTATATATGCCTTGTACTTTTCTTTAAACATTAATTAAGGTCAGACGATGAATTTAATTTTTAGAAAGAGATATATAGTCTGTTAAATTCAATTCTATTGTATCACCTTCTTTTCCATTCCTTCTCATTTTGTTTATTGGGACTAGAGATGTGAAATCTTCTTCCTTTCTTTTTTTCACAAGAATTTCTTTTCTGATCGATCGTATTACGTATAGTAGATTTTTTGTTACAAATTACAGTTCAAACCATAAATGTTTAATTCAAATATTACGTCTCACGAATTATAAGTAAATTGTTCAACAATTTGATCCTATATTCACAACTCATTTCAATCTACTAAAACTATATCTTGAAAAGCATTTAGACAACTTCATTTATTTATTCTAAGCAATCTTTACACATTTTGTTTTAAAAACAAGTATTTCTTTATTTTTCTGTAATATGAGTATAAGTTTTAAATTTTTGATTAGTTTTTCATTCAAAGATTACATATATTATGACAATTTTTTAGAGAAAAATTATGGTGAATGTTGATTAACGTGATATATTATGAGTCTCATTATTTGTCAATTTTCTTACATTAGCAAAATTGGTTGAAAAATCACGTGTAGGGAGAATATTGCAATAGAAGGAATCTTCTCAATACTAAAGCTTAATCTCATAATATTCCTTACAATAATGTATTATTCATACTAAAAACCCTATCTAAGGTATCGAATAGAGTATTAATAAGGGTATTATGATTTTATTGTGCGATATATGATACTACAATTAGAGACATATTTATGGTCTCGACAGACAACAATGTTTTACAAAGATGAAAAGGACTTAAAGTAAACAATGTTGTCCAAAATTACTACTGAAGGCTTATAACGAATACTATAAAAAATGTCACTGTAGTTATTTTATTCCTCAAGGATGATCACACACTTGGTTGTAACTTCTAGAGTCTTAAGAAATATGGAAAACATACTTGAAAGTTAGTTTTTTGTTCCATTAGTAGATATTAACAATAGAATAATAGATGAAATTGGAAGTAATTTGAAAAGCTAACGGCTCTAGTAAACATAACTGCAACATTTGCCTAACACATCAAAATTGTCTTCCAACCAATCATTTTTGTTATAATAGGCACTACATGAAAAGTGTTTCATGTCCTATTATGGATTTGTCTTTAAATCTTGTGTGATTATGATAATGTTCTTATAGTCTCAAATAGCTATCTCCCTATTCTCTAGGAATACTTTTTCAACATGAGACTTATGTTTGGTGTTGGCTTAAACATAAGTCTCACGGCTACAATAATACCAAGGAGAAAACCTCCTAACTTATATATATATTTGGTAAGTTCGACTTGCTCATAATAATATTGTCTCTTTAATTTCCGTTGACATTATGTCTACTAGGCTTGTAAGTAAGGTAGTCTAAAGGAATTTAAAGTTTTCATTATTTCTGATCAAATAAAATATAAATTGAGTTTAATTTCATGAAAATCTAACATGCAACAGGAAGTGATCCTTTTTCTAGATTTGCAATCATGACTAATTTAGAGTTTATATTTTGAACAATTTCTTGGGGTTCTTTTAGTTTTTCATTTAGATTACAGAACCTTTCCAAATATATATAACAATTGTTTTACTAACTATTATTTTTTTTTACTTTATGGTATGAGTATACAAGAATTTTTTTTTTAATGTTTCATACACACTTAAAGAAAAAATCCAAAAATTTTAAGATTTTTTAAAATATCTTTTAAAACTCTATTGAATAATTTATAAGAGTATTTGTAAATTTCAAATTGTTTAGTTATGAGAACTAAATAATCTATTTATAGGTAATAAAAGTAGTCTAGTTTTTAAGAAAGTAGAAAAACTAATTCAACTTAGAAACCTAAAACAAGTTTTGTCTAAGAATGATTTCATGTTAAACTTGAAAATGTCATCTCATGGAAATTCTATGACCAAATATGGTTTATAAGATATCTACGTAAATGATTTACTTTTTTATCAGGTATAAATCTGAATTTAAACTAGGATAATATGTAGTAATTAATTGTATAATTATTTTTAATAAAATTATAGGTAATCATATAAATTAAAATTGTATAATTATTTTTAATAAAATTATAGTTAATCATATAAATTAAAAAGTAATCAATTAATAGGGAGGTTATATGATATCTCTGGCATACTATGTGTCTCTCGCATAGAGGTGAACTTCATATCTTATCTTAGTATGTGGAATCTATCCTCTTATAATGAGAGACTTAGATACAAGAGACGAATCTTATAATAATTTAAAAGTTCTAATAAGTAGGGGCACGTAACGGTCCAAAACTTAACCAGACAAGATTGAATTGAGAGCATATAAGAACCAAGTAAACCCCATAAGCCAAACTGAATAACGAACCATACAAATGAGTAAATTATGAGTAAAATAATATTTAATTATTTTTTTATTACTGGTCCAAACCAGGTCTAAACTGGATTATTTAGCTTGATATTTTGAGAACCAAAGAATAAACTAGATATATTGCCTAAATGTGATCTAATGTATACTGAATTAATTAGTTCAATTCAATTTTTTAGTCTGGAATGAAATTTGCACATTTTTACCAAAAGTAGGTTTAAAAAAATAATCAAATAATTTAGACTAAAAATTGTATATTTACTCCATTCAGCTAAAGACATTTTATGAACAATTTAAAGGCTAAATAATGGAATTCAATCTTTTAAAAACATTGTTGCTTTCTTTTTCTTTGCATTATCCCTAACTTAGAGAGAGATAGAGTAATAGAGAGAGAGAGAGAGAGAGAGAAAACAAGAACATATTCCTAATAGTAATTAGATTCTCTAGTATATAGATACAATTTTTAACAATGTTCTCTACACTATATATATGATTATGAGTCCAAGTTTTCTAGAATTGAGGGTGACCCAACCCTCTCCAATGAAGGACTCTCACCCGCCCATTTGACTTATGGCATCATCGACTTGCTTTTCAACCTAAGCAATTTCATAACCAGAGAGAAAGACCTCTCTTTCGGGATCAGACCCGTCCCTAGATGTAGTAGTCAATCAGTGGGACATTTAAAGAAGCTATGCACCTTTACTGAAAACAAGCCCTTTCATCCTAATCTCATCTATAGCAAAGGAGGGCTGAGCGTAGCGCCTTCTTTTTTGGGACACAGGCTATTACAGACACATCACTCTATGCCATTTGATGTATGTTGGCGCAGAAAGGGCCGCTTGATCACCCCATCTACTTTGCAAGTAGATGACTTAGAGCTTGGGAATTATACAACCACCAAACCCTCTTTATCAATATCCGACCCACACCTAAGACCCAATATTGAGCACTAGAGCTGCTCATAACAACGTACCGAAAGGAAGAATGTGATGA